CATAAGCACCAAGCAGACACACAGGCAAAGCTCTCTCTCTCTCATTCGCGCGCGCACTAGCATACACACACACACAAACACCAAACACACACACAGTCAAAGCTCTCTCTCTCTCATTCGCATAACAATATCCGCGATATTGCTAGACAGCCCGCTCCCGTCCCAAATTAAACCCATTACCGACCGCTCCCGCGATTTATTCGGAAATTTATTCCCGCGTCGCAGAAATCTGGTCAGGTCTCGCAGCGCCCGCGGGACAGCCGCGGGAATGCAAACCTCTAGTACATATCAATAATGAGGGTGGGTTGCAACTTGAGCTAGGCCTCAAAATCACTGCGATTCGGATCTTATTTTTAACAACATGAAATATTAAAAAAGAGACTTCTTGTGTTTATATTACCCCAAAACGACAGTGGACACACTATACCTAAACATAGTTCTGCCCAAACAGCTTAATTTTACATCATAGGTGCCCTTTAAGATGCATTTTTATCAATCTACAACAAGTGGATTATACAGTAATAAAGGGGCTGTAAAAGGCTTCCATCGGCTTTTAGTGATAGTCAAAAACTCATTAGGCCTAATTGATTTAATTATGTGTACGCCCATGTGGTCAAGTGCATTCACAAAAGATCTCCTGCTCTCTGCCTTCTGACTGCTTATGTGATTGTAATGGATGTGTTGTGAGAGAGCGCATCAAAACAAGGCACTCATGCTTTGCTTAGCTGTAGCAAAACACGCAGATAATCCAAATCCAGAGTTGATATCTGTACAAGTTTCTTTTGCTATTTCCTGCTCACTTCTAAAGCATGTAACATGGATTTGTTCATTCAATAGTGCTTGTGCGTTTCACTGAGCGCTCCTGTGAAATTGATGTAGAGAGTGACGAAATAAGTTGGAAGGGTTTCAACTAAATCCATGCTCAAGTTTTCCCAAGTGATGCGTTTGAACAGTGGTTATGCCAGTCACTGACAGATCAAATTACTGAAAACGTAAATACTGCAAATGTAAATACCCAGGGAAAACAGAGCCTATAAGACAGCAACAGATAAGGTCAACGTATAATGAAATTTGCTCTGTTTTATAAATGACTATTATTGATCTGATTGAAAATCAATTAATCTATACATATTTAATTTGAGTTTTTTCCTCAATCAATTACTCTGCCTAAAAGGCCCTTCACAATCAGCAACAAATTTAGAGTGCTTCATCCTGTCATCTCACAGTTTAGTCAACACCCTACAGCATGCAAAGATATATTGTGCTCAAATTTTACTTTGAAATCTCTGGTATATTTGACAGAATTATAACAAACCTGAATTTAATATTAAATATTGAAGTTGAAAAACCTAAATTCTATAATCCTGTTTAACAATCTAAAATTATTTTTTAAATTTATTATTTGGTCTTAATTGCTTTTGGCTTTTTATTGATAATAAGATTAAATTCAATTCACCTTTATTTCTATAGCGCTTTTAGAATGTATATTGTGCCAAAGCAGCTTCACATAGAAGATCATAGTAAATTGAAACAGTGTAAGTCCCGTTTTCAGTGTTAAAGTTCAGTTCAGTTTAGCTCAGTTCAGTGTGGTTTAATAATCACTACTGAGAGTCCAAACACTGAAGAGCAAATTAATCGATGCGCAGCTCTACAGATCCCGAACTATGCAAGCCAGTTTCCACAGCAGCGAGGAAAAAACTTCACCAATTGGCGAAAGTGAAAAATTAAAAAACCTCAAAAGAAATTCTCCTATGGCCAAACGTCTTGTGCAGAGCTGCAGTCTGTTTCAACAGCCTATGACCAGGATTGCTCATACATTCAGGCATAATGGATGAAGCATAGGCACAGCATTAGAGACCTGTTGATTTCTGGCAATCGCTAATTTAGTATGATATAATCTAGTGACTAAATCAAACTTTCTTTATGTATGTGCAAGCATGGGGCGGCCTAATATTACTTAAAGGAAATTAGTTATATCCTCTATCTAAGAACCAGAACTGGCGAGGATGTGTACGTGAGTATATGTAACTGGCCAGCATATTGGCGCTAAACGACTTCGGGTAAACGACGAACCATTAACTGAAAATAAGGATTTATTAGGGTAATCGATCTAAATTAGACCAAATCACAACCTACTGTATAAGGTAGTCAGCTTGAATTGGATGAGTCTAAATTTAAACTATGATAAATTGGAGTCAGATTATATTCGGAGTTGGAAACAAAATGAATTTTAACACACAAAATTTTTTTTTTTCACATGTGCTTAAAAGGCTTCCATACATTTAACCCTCACCTATACTGTTAGTTCTGTCATTGGACTAATAGGTGAACTCTTACAACAGCAGCAATAAAAAATCTGCAGAATATAAAGCAGAGACACCAAATATATACATTCCAGTGTATAAACACTAAAGAAAGAAGGATATCTGACAATTCAGTAGTTATACTTTTTAAACAAAAATTGCACTAGTTTATATTGCACAGTTCAATACTGCAGGAAGAAAAGACCTTCTATCTCCTTCTCTTGGATGTATGTCATATAAGAGACTTTATATTGTGACACAAAATGAGATCAGATCAGAATGAACACAAAGTAGCCTCAGACTTGCCGCTTCAACAATCCCGCTGGCTATATAACTAAAAACAGGCACCTCACGCTGAATCCCATGACCCAAGGTCGAAGATAAAGACTATGCGGCTTGTATTTCTTTAGGAAGTGATGGATGAAATGATGTTTCGGGCTGCATTCTGGGTTTGTGAACAGATATGGCGAGGATGACCTGCTTGGGATATCTAGACAAATACTACAAGAGTTTTCAGCTTGAGAAAACACTGAATCTCTGAAACCCTCTTCCCATTACTCTGTGTCCAGGCGGACTGGCCTCTGGATAAATGTTGGCACTTGTGGGGAAGCCCCTTGACTAATGGTTTTCGCCATGCAAGAAGGCATGAAATTACGGAGCCCTGGCTGGTTCAGTGACAGCCCCTTGTTTTCCATTTGCCGTCTGATTTATTGTGGTGAGTGATTTTTGGAGATGGAAATTTAACGGAGGCGGTGAGAAAAGAGGCGTCTGTGTCTGATCTGTCGGTGTGTGTGACTGAAAGGCAGGGCTTGATGTCAGTCTGTAAAGTCCTCTGTGGAATTGGGTCCAAACCAAGGGGAAAGACTCTGAATGAAGTGTCTCTTCATTTTCACTCCTGGCTCAAGATGCAGTCTGAGCAGTGGAGTAATTCAAGAGTTTGAGAGGGTTCTCGTTCTGTCTTATATTCACTCCCTTCTGTCTTTTGTAGTGTTTCTATTTTCACTTTCACACACTTTAAATCCAAGCCTCAAAGGCTTGGTGAACAAAACCAGTGCAACACCATTGTGTCAGTCAGACCAACCCTCCCTCTCTGAATCCTGGATCTCTGTGACATTGGGATTGTACAGTTTTCCAGCATGCCGTCCTGTCAGAATGCAGGCCACACACTATCACCTTTAGCCCTTCACTGGTAACACCCATAATTATCCACTGAGTCGCTTAGAGGAAATGGAGTCTCTAGGGAAAAAGCTTTCAAATGGGTCACAAGGTCTTTTGGGTCAGGGTGGACAATAGCAGCTGTAATTAAATCTGACAAGTGATTAACTATAACGTCCAGCTATGGTGAATTTTTTGGAATTAGCGTTGGATGGAGATGGAGGAGCTGTCCATTGCTGTGGTGCTGAAATGCAGTTGCAGCATGACGAACACTGGGTGGGCCGTATCATACTGTGCGTTTTATCAGCTCTAACTCAGATTTCCATCTCCCACTAGACATAAAAGTGATTCTGTGTGATAATTATGCAAGTTCTTTCGACATTTTTGCTGATAACAAACCAGCAAGTAGTTTGAAGTGTCTTGTCAACAAAAGCCTCAGTTGGCTAGAAAATAGTTTAACTGTATTTTTAGCTTATGCAAACAACTTTTAATGTTGTTTTCTTTCTCTAATTATAGCTATGTTTAATTAGTTACATGCAGCACAGGATAGAAATGTGATTATTCATTCAGGGGATTTTGGCATTTTTCCACATACAGTACAATTAGGGGTAATGCTTTTTTATGAATATAAAAGAACTTTATGTAAAGTTATAAATAAAGCTTATTAGAATGCATATGGCAAGAAATAACAGTTTTCAGACTTCAGTGCTTTTCATTTTTTTAATAAAGAACCAGTATATAAATTGAGCTTTGTAAATGTTTTATATTGTTTCTTTATAGTTGTTTATTATTTTTACTACAAATAAGTTTTTTCATTGCCCTAATATAATGTCTTGTTAAACATTTCTAAAGTTTAATCCAGTTTTCTGACCTTGATCCCATTTTGATGGTTATTTTACCTGGCAAATAGTCTTCTTCTTGTGTGTGTTTGTTTAGGTTTTGCACAACTATTAAATTTTTTTTACTTTGCCTCTTGTTAACCAATTTTTGTTTTGTTTTTGTTTTCAGTTTTTTATAAAAAAACTTTTTCTTGATAGGATATTGGTTGTGTGGTAAATGTGAGAAGTGAAGAACTAGCATGAAAATGCAATGCTTTTTCTTTTTACTGTTGGTGAAATTTACTAGCAATTTCTGTGGCTTTAGTGTGGATTTTGTACTGAAGTTATTTGCATTAAAGCATGAATGTTACCTCGTTAAAGATAACATGTCAACCCCCCTGGCAAATAACAAAATATTTTGCAATTTATTTGCAGTAAAAGTGAATGTATTGTATTTTTAAAATCTACATTTTACCAACGAACTACCAGATTTTTACTTGCAGCATTTCTGCCTTTATTCCCTCCCCAGTGTGGTTGAGGATTGTATTTCAGAAGTTAACCGCCGTGAGAAATAGCTCTTGCTGTAATGAGCCATAGCGGTGGATCAATAGCGTGATGCTGCGCCGAGCGCGCGCAAAGCCTCGAATATGTGAAAGAATGCGCGATGGGTGGAGTTCTGCTCTTTTACTTTACACTCCACACACAGTGCGGACACACACACATCTCACCGCTGTCACAGGAGGCGCACACTTCTACTCTTCCTTGAGTTTTTCATTTACCAAACCCAAACCCGTTGTATAATCATCTTAAAATTTCTGCCAACATCATTGACACTATATTTTGAGCGCATCATAGGGCGTTCGCGGTCTCCAGCGCGCCTTCATCACAGACGCTGATTCTGTGTCACCCACTGCGGTCCTGCGCGCGCCCCGCCGGAGCTCTGAGATTTTAGCAAGCACCGCAGGACCCAGACCTGCCAAACTGTTTGAAGTAGAAAGCTTCATCTTGTCCCGCGCGCCAATGGAAGGCGACGTTATGGATAAACTGGAGGACATGGCCTCAGTTTGCGAGTTCGACCCAATCACGGGGAATATTCCCGCCACTAAAGTGGAGATCACCGTCTCGTGCAGGTATGACACTGAATCACTTTGTTTCGATTTAAGAATAAATATTGTGTAAGCTTAATCCAATTTTATAGCTTTTATAGTTTGTAATGACCACATTAAGGCTGTTATTTCACCAGATAAAGGTTCAGGTTTTCAGAATAATTGTTGTATAAGTGGTCCTGAGGTAGCTGTTTGGAATTATTATGAAGAAAAGTTTTTTGGACAGCTAATCTGTTTTGATAACCTAAGAAAAAGCGAAGCCTTTAGCGTTCTATAAGAACTAGCATGTAAAACGGCTTCGTAAAGAAGCTGTATGTACTCAAACAAATTAAGGCTTTATAATTTGCCGTTTCTTTGAGGAAACTACAACATATGGAACGTTTATTTTACGTCACTCAATAAACGTTTCTCCTATGAAAAAGGTTTTTGCTGTTGAAATGTTCTTCTCACTAAAAATGGTTCTTCTACGTACCTTTCTCTTAAATATTCTTTATATGTTCTTAAATGTTCTTTTATAATGGCTTTTCTGTTTATTCACAATTTTGCAACCTTTAATTGCCACCCTACATTTTCATACAGCTTATAAACATGTAAAAGAAGCAGTTCACATGCACCAAATATTCTACAATATTTAGATGAGTGTACATATCTAATATATGAGATATGTGAGTATATACTTGCCAAAAGCACTTAATGTTGCTGCTCAGCTGTCTCCTGTAGAGATGCCGTAAGTTGTCAGATTCTCTGAGCATCAAGTCCCTGCAGAAACCCATGAACAGACACCCCTAGGTCTTTGCTTTCCATTGATAATTAATGTTTGTATTTTTAGAAGTATTACATGACCTGCTTGCCAGAGGAAGTGTATCTTTAGTTGGTCTTTATGGATGCCCAGCCGGCACACGACCGACCTTCAACGTTGAAATATGGTTGAAATAAGGTCAGATGTGTTTTGAACGTTGAAATAATGTTGATAGAACGTTTAATGTTGAACGGTTGAAAAACAGCCTGCTTATGACAAGGCTTCAACGTTGAAATGTGGTTGAAAATACGTCAGTTGTTGCTTTAATGTTGAAACAATGTTGAATGATAAATGGTTGAAAAAAGTTACAGAAATCCTTGTACAAATCAACGTTGACATTTTTTTTTATCATGGTCTGTATGTTGAATTAACGTCATGGCTTCACCCAATATTCAACATGTTTGGTTACCATGGTATCGGAGGACTCGGCGCACGCGGCCACGCGCAGCGCTTCACTTCACTTAATTACGAACACCTGACCTGCAGTGCAGCAGAATTCAGAGGTAAGCGTGTTTTTAGATGCTTTAATGTTTTATTTACCCCCCGATTTTGTTTTACACACAGTGTATCTTAAATGTGACTTAGTGTAGTGTTTCGAATTTTGAAGCATTTAAAACTTTCCAGTTTGGTTTAGTTTGCGCTCCGGTGACGCAGATAACCTCGAGGTAATGTCACATGTTTAACGTTAGTCTAAATGAGCGTTTTTATGGCAAATTCAAAGCGATAAACTCCAAACGCAGTTTAAAGTTACTGAGCAACGTTATAAAACAATATCATTTTTATACGCTGTATAATTAGTGTTATTATTACAAAGTGAACTGCTTTCGTTTCACTGTTGTTGTTGTTTTTGCTTTTAGACATGTAACTTAACGTACTCCAGAGACGCACTAACTTGCACAGCATTGAATGGAAAAGGCTTTGTCCATGTAAGTTTACTTTACCTTTAACTAAGCTAGCCTATCTGTTAAATCTTCTTGGTGCTTTGGTTGGTGATATTCTCTTTCTAATTTGTTTGTTTATTGATTGTTAGGCTATGTTGTGATATTATATTGTTATATTGATATTATTATTGTGAAATCATGTTGTGATGTTACTATGTGACAGTATTGGGGAGCAAATATGTATTTAGTGAGAAATTAATGTTTAAATTACACTTTGTATAGTAGCAGATAAGAGGTGTAATGGGTTTTAACTTTCTGGGTTTTCTGGAAGGTCCAGTTGAGGGCATCAAGAACACGTAGATAGCCTAAACCTGTGTCAGCCTGGACAGACTGCAGTTCTGCTACTCCACGCCAAGGCTTTTGTATGGATGTCTGACTACTACAGTGTTCTCTAAAGGTATTACTGGAGCAAAACAACAGCACCCATTACAGTGAAATTTGTATTCATAAAAATAGTGATACATGTGTAGCAGTACCAGTACATGTGATGTCATTGAGAAGTTGTTTTTATTAAATGTCATTAAAACAAATAAATAAACATGCTATTTAAATAAATCTAAATATTAAAAACTTGAGGATTAAGAAGAAATTAAATGCATCATCTGTCTTGCGAAAAGGGTCTACTTAAGAATTCTGGTGTTTCCCAACTGAAAGGGATAGTTCACCCAAGAATGAAAATTTACTCACATTTTACTCCCCAAATGGTTTAAAACCATTATGAGTTTATTTTGTTGAACACAAAAAGGGGCTATTATGAAAAAAAAACTAAAAACCTGTAAACATTGACCTCCATAGTGGAAAAAAATACTATAGAAGTCAATGGTTATAGATTTGCAGCTTTCTTCAAAATATCTTCTTTTGTGTTCAACGTGGTTAGTAAATGATGACAGAATACAAATTTTAAACTATCCCTTTAATTTTCTGTCCTACATGCAGACTTTTGCAGAAGTACTACTCCTTCTAGAGTTTTTCTCAACCATATGTATAAAAAGCTTTAAACAGCTTTTACAGTACATGTAATGGTTCACAACAACTTGTAATTATTAAATGTGTTGAATGTTTCATGGTTCTTTACTGCAGCCCTTGTTTTAAAAAAAAAAAAAAAAGAAATTTTTTCGAGAATCTGAAATTTGAATTCTGGAAATGCTGGCACCGGTGGTGGCGAAGGGCTTCCTGACGATATCACACCTAATTCTTCACTTCTCTTAGTTAGGAATATTCAGATGTATGAGTTAAAATTATTGAGTGTGGCGATTATTATAAGACAAATTTGGATTCAATAAAAAATAAATATTTGAATTTCACTTTGTATAATAGCAGATACCAACTTAATTGTAACCTCGTATTTCATTTATTGCAGGTTTTCTGGAAGCTCCATTTGAGGGCATCAAAGACATACTGATGGCCTAAACCAGTGTCAGCCTAGACAGACAGACATCTATTGCAGTTCTGCTACACAAGACCAAACTCTCTGCGTTTGTATGGATGTCTGACTAGTACGGTGTTCTCTAAAGGTATAACTGGAGCAAAACAACAGCATCCGTTACAGTGAAATTTGTGTTCATAAAAGATAGTGATATATGTGTAACAGGTCCAGTACATTTGTCATAAAGGTTAAATCACAGTAAGTACTGTAAAAATAACTTGTTTGCCTCTGCCACAACAGGTCATGGTGTGTGCTTACTGCTCGTAGTAAACACACACACTGATCTGATGCGGGAGAGATATATGCAAAAATATTTGTATTTACTGTTTTGTTTTGCCTCACTAAAGTGTTGTTGGAGCTTGGTATGTTCACAGTTGAAATCACTGAAGTCACATGGAACGTTTTGACAATGTGTTTTGTGCCTTATCTGGACAATGACCATCTTGGGACCATTGCTGTCTGTAGAGGATGAGGAGCATTTAATCTAAAATATTTTAGTTTGTGTTCTGAAGATTAACAGGTCTCTGGGATGACACAAGTAATTAATAACAGAACCTATATGAACACTTAATGTGACATGTAATAGTGAAATAGTGGTCCTACATTCACAAATGTGAGCCATTATTATAAGACCCATGTGAACATGCAATTTTTATGATACTAATAATAATGGAATAACAAATTGCTATTACTGTTGTGTTTGTGAGAGAGAATCAAACCATATATTCTACACATTTTCTTGATGATTTACTGAAATATTTGTCTACATGTTCCACTGTCACAGGTGCTCAGTTTTGCTGCAGTAATGCTAAACACAATAGATGTACTTTATGCAAAAAAAAAAACAAAAAAAAAAAACTACTAAATATTTAGCATGCAGACCTGCAAAGTAAAGGAGTAATGTCAGGTTTAGATTATAGCATGAGTTTTCACTATTGTGAAAGTGAAGCCATTCATTCACAATGAATTGGAATAGCAAACCTCATTATTGATTTTGTAGGAAACTCACCTGGTGTTTGAGAAATAAATATGTATTTAACTGCTAGACTGATATAGATGTTTTAGTGTTTTACACTTGATTCTTTGTCCCCAGTGCCATCTTTTACCTCAAGTGTTTCTCTCAACCTATAAAACCTCAAACAGATGTAATGTATTTCACTTGTGATTCTTAGTTGTGAGTGATGTTTTTTATTTGATTTTTTTTACTGCAGCCACTTTAAAAATGGGTATTTTGTAAACTTTGTAAACGGAATTGTATTTTGGAGACTGTGATGGTTGAAGCGTACTTTAGTTACTTAGTTTAATTTAGTTAGCATCTGTCTTTCTGAAGACGGTAACACTTTACAAAAAGGTTGTATTAGTAAGTGTTAATGTATTTACTAACATGAACAAAGAACAATGAAGTATCTTTCATATAAAGAAAGTACAGTTCATGTCAGCTCAGTGCATTAATGTTAACAAGCATACATTTTGATTTTAATAGCATCGGGACATATTTCAATTAATTAAATGATTAATAAATGCTGTACAAGTATTTGTTCTTTGTTCATGTTAGTAAACATTAACTAACTTTAATTCATGAAACCTAATTAAAAAGTGACTCTTTAATTGTATGCCTTTTTCTGTATTTGAGTGTACAGCATGTATAGTAACCTGCATGGTTTTGATGAACTGTATGCTGTAAATGTTGCTGTATATTTAGAATAAATGAAATAATGAGGTGTGTATTAAATAAATTGATACACAGGCTAAGTTGTGTATTTTTGTCGTGTATTTTTATTAGTAAAAATTTGTTTGCTATATTTATGGACTTTGCGTTGTATGTAATTTCTATTTAACTTGCGTTGAAATGTATGAC